AAGAGATGAGCATATTCCTCTGCCCAATACACATTTTCTGCCTCACCACAGGCCCAAAGCAACAGAGTCAGCTAACCATGAGCTGAAACACCTGAGACCGTGAACCCAGATAGGTTTTCCATCCTTCAAGATGATGACTGTCTTGGCTGGGCAGTATTGACGTATGTCATTAGTCCCAGCATTTGGGGGGCAGAGCAGGTGGAATCTCTGGGATGGAGACCAGCCTGGCCTATAGAGCAAGATCCAGGATAGCCAAGGCTACACAGAGCCCTGTCTCAGAAAGAAAGAAAGAAAGAAAGAAAGAGAGAGAGAGAGAGAGAGAGAGAGAGAGAGAGAGAGAGAGAGAGAAAGAAAAAAGGAAAAAAAGAAAGGGAAAAGGAAAAAGAAAATATTGTCTTGGGCATTATGTTACAATAACAAAACTCCAGCTGACACAGTCATTAAGGAAATATATTGAAAATTAGAGCAGTGATGGGGCACGCCTTTAGTCCCAGCAATCAGGAGGCAGAGGCAGGTGGATCTGTGAATTCAAGGCCAGTCTGGTCTACAGAGTGGATTCTAGGATAGTTAGGGCTACACAAATAAAACCTGTCTCGAGCCGGGCGTTGGTGGCACACGCCTTTAATCCCAGCACTCGGGAGGCAGAGGCAGGCGGATCTCTGTGAGTTCGAGGCCAGCCTGGTCTACAGAGCGAGTTCCAGGACTGCCTCCAAAGCCACAGAGAAACCCTGTCTCGAAAAACCAAAAAAAAAAAAAAAAAAAAAAAACCTGTCTCGAAGAAGAAGAAGAAGAAGAAGAAGAGGAGGAGGAGGAGGAGGAGGAGGAGGAGGAGGAGGAGGAGGAGGAGGAGGAGGAAGAAAGAAAGAAAGAAAGAAAGGAGGAGGACAAGGACGAGGAGGAGAAGGAGGAGAGAGAGAGAGAGAGAAGAGAGAGAGAGCAAGCAGAGACACTCTAAGGCTCTAAGGGCTGGGGATTTGGCTCAATCCACAAAATAATGCCTGGTACCCAAGCAGGAGGACCTGAGTTCGGATCCCCAGCCTCCATGTCTGTAGCCCCAATGCTGTGGAAAATGGAAACTGGCAGATTCCCAGAGCTCATTGACTGGGCCAACCTAGCAGAATCAGTGAATTCCTGGTTTGCTGAGAAACCGTGTCTCAAAAACTAAGGAAGACATCGGTTGTTAGACACACGCACACACACACACACACACACACACACACACACACACACACACACCAGAGCACATCTGTTGAAATGGAAAACAAACAAAATTAACTTGACCATACCACATGACGGCAAGGCTGCAGAACAGTGGGGACTTTCATTTATAAACTTTGAGAATGCAAAATGGTGCAGCCATTCTGGAAGACCGTTTGCCAGTCTTTTATAAATTAACCACAATTTTCCATGTGACTCAGGCACAATTTTTTTTTGTTTTGTTTTTTGTTTTTCGAGACAGGGTTTCTCTGTATTGTTTTGGAGGCTATCCTGGAACTCGCTCTGTAGACCAGGCTGGCCTCGAACTCACAGAGATCTGCCTGCCTCTGCCTCCCGAGTGCTGGGATTAAAGGCGTGCGCCACCAACGCCAGGCTGACTCAGGCACAATTACAAATTACAAATTCCCTTTGCCCAAGTGAGCTGAAATTTATTTTAACACAAAAACGTATTAACAAATATCTACAACATTGTCACCAAAACCCAGAAGTGTGGCTAGGGTCCCCTCAGAACAAAGGCGAGACAACACGGCTTAGTCAGTGTCAGTGTATGAATGCATCTTATCACATCCCTGGGCCCTTGGCGTCATGACAACCCTATCACATTTCTACTGCTTTAGTGTCATAGTGTCATGGTGACCCTGTTACAGTCATGTAGCCTAAGTGTCAAGACCTTATAGCCACAAAATAGCCAATGAAATGAGTGTTACTGTATTAAAGAGCAGGGGGACTAAAATTGTGTTAAAGTAAAACCTCACTGCATCAAGGTTCCAGTTTCAGGCATTAGCTGAGTCTCTGCCAGTCCAAAGAAAGCTGCTTCGTGGAGCTAAGCCTCAGTGTCCTCATCCAAGAATCCCATCCTAGAGACAACCAGGATGCTCTTCAGTGGGTAAACTGTGGTAAAAGCATACAAGGAATAATGGTGGATAGGATTCTGTGATAAAATGGACCAAGGTATCAATTCGTAAAAAGTATAGGAATCTTAAATTTATTATGCTTAGTAAAGAAGACAATGATGGCTACAGCTCCATAGTTTTACCTGCTTTGCTTTCTGGATAAAGGAAAGCTATAGGGTTTTACACACACACACACACACACACACACACACACACACACACACACATTCAAAATCAATCAACCAATTACCCAGACATGGTTGTTCACACCGGTTATGCCAGCACTTGGGAGGCAGAGGCAGGATGACTACCACAAGTTCAAGGTCAACCTGAACTACATAGTCACCTATATAGTGACACCCTGTCTCAAAATGTGGGGGGCATGTAGCTCAGTTGACAGAATTTTTGCCTATTATACATGAAGTCCTAAGTTTGACACCCAGTACCTCATAAAAATAGGCATGTAGGCATGTTGGTGCATACCTGTAATCCCAGTATTTGGGGGTAGAGGCAAGAGAATCAGGAGTTCAGGACATCCTTGGCTACATAGCAAGTTTGGGGACAGCCTGTAATACATAAGAATACATCTCTGAAAAAAACCAAAACCAAACAAACCGTATCAGTGGTTGCCAGGACCTGAGGAAGAAGATTGGTTGGTTATCAAAGTGCAGCACAGAGAAGTTTTGAAACAACGTCATTGTTCTGTGTGACACCGGAGTCATAGACACATGGCAGCACGTAACTTCCAAAACCCAGAGACTCTTATAGCACAATAAATAAACTTCAATGTTTCCAAGCGTTTGAAAATCAGCCTGAATGTTGGGGATGCCAGACTATGACCAAAGAATCTTCCATGTTGAGGTTGAGAGGTATAACCTCTCTGTAAGTGGTGTGGGAGAATGGAGTCAGCTCAGCAAACTTGGAAAAGCAGTGTCTTTGACAGGAAAACCTACAGCTAAAAACAGAAGCAATTGTGTGTCATCACTGGTCTTCAGTCAGCCAAGTTGTCTCTCATGCAGATACAGGCTACCAATCCAGAGAATGCTCTAGACAGAGGCCTCATGAGCCTTTTCTCATTCACGACAAAAACACCAGACAGAATCAACCTAAGAGAGGAACATGTTATTTTGGCTCAGGGTCCATCATCATGGGGGATGAAGGAAGCACAGCAGAGTGGTTCCAACTGTGGCGGTAGCAGGGATGGATGTCCCTGTTGAACTCTTGATGACGTCAAGACTATGGCTAGGACCAGAGGGGAATAGAACCATCCTAACCCGGCCACTTCTGTCAGCCAGGCCCAGCCCCATAAAACTCCAACATCTTCAAATATGACCACAGGCTGGAGACAAGCACCTAGAACATAAACCTATGAGGAATGTTCCAGATTTAAACCATGACAACGAGATAAACAAAAAAGCAAACAGAAGATTTGTCACAAAAACTTGATCTCCCAATGCGGAAGAAGGAAGCTTCAAGTGAGCAGAAGGGTTGAGTAAGCCAGGAGGTTCTAGAGAATTCACTGTGAATTTATGTTGATCTTAATGAAGATACAGGACTGATGAGACGTAAATATTCATGAGTATGTATATGAACATGGAATACATATGTCTATTCTCTAGCTCTGCCTGTGAGGCGGGGCCTAAAGACAGGAAGACCCCAGTAGCAAACAGGACTCTCGTGTTCAAAACTTGGTCTCTAGTCATTTTCCAAAAAAGGGTACCAGGGGTCCTTAGAGAAAAATCTGGGTCTAGGGCTGGAGGGAATGTAAATGAGTCAGGAGCTCTCATTGTGACTTGAAGTCAAAGGCTATTTTGGAAAACAAAGATGATCCTGACACAGAAAAAAAAACACACACACACAAAAAGTAGGAATCGGAGGCGCAGTGTACTTCAGTTCACAGATCCTGTGGGTGGGAAGAACACCGTGTAACAATCCCAGGGGTGTGGCATGTCTGAGGTACACATCAGCTCACAGCCCCTGTGGTAGCTTGCACTGAATCCAGTTAGTCAAAATTCCAGAATTGATGGGGGAGGAGCTCCTGGGGCCCCACCCCTAGGAGAGATCCCTAAGGAATTAGTGGCAGTTAATGGCCACTGAGGAAGGGAGAGCCACTTTTCCGTGAGGACATGACTTCTGGTAGGTTGTCCATGCCTTAGTGAATGGCCCCACTCCCATCTGAACATGGTCAGCACTAATTAGACACAGTGGGTTGTTAAGAATAATAACGTTTTTTTAATCTTGCTGAGGGAGGTCACATGGGTGGGGGAGGCAGAAAGGGAAGGACTGGGAAATGAGTGTGATCTAGGTGTATGAGGTGAAAGTCCCAAATAATCAAGCAAAATATTATTTGAAGATAATAATAATGATAATAACTTTTTAAAAGAACATGAAGTCAGCCATGCATGGTGGCCCACGCCTTTAGTCCCAGCACTTGAAAAACAGGCAGACAGCTCTCTGTGAGTTTGAGGCCAGCCTGGTAAACAAATGTGAGTTCCAGGACAGCTAGGTATGTTACACAGAGAAACCCTGTCTCAAAATAAATAAATAAATAAATAAAAAAGGAAGAAAGAAAAGAAAAAGAACATGAAAGAAGATTGGTTGTTTATTTCTGTGGGGAGTTGAAAGGAAATCATATGTAATAACAATTATTAATAATATTAAATTTAAAATTAATAATTATTAATTAGTTAATAATATTTTTAAGAAACCAAGCAGGCAGTAGTGAGGCACACCTAGGGAGGCAAAGGCAGGTAGATCTCTGAATTTGAGGCCAGCCTGATCTACAGAGTGAGTTTCAAGATAGCCAGGGCTACACAAAGAAACCTTGTCTTGAAAAAACAACAACAACAAAAGAACAAAGAGAAAAACCATTGCATGCATGCAAGCATGGAAATTTCAAAAAAATTTTTTTAATTTTAAAGAACACTGAAACGATAGCCTAAACAAGTCTTTCTAGCCCTAGAAGTTATTTGTCTCAGGTGTTTTGTCTCAGCGGTGGAAAGCTTAGGGAAGAATTACAAGTAATCTCTGTAAGCCTTCCCTCCTTCTGGAAGTATTACAGCCCTCCCCTCACTTTGAACAGGGGCTGTATGGATGAGCTGCTTCCAAGGAGTAGACCTAGAGGAGGGAATGAGAGAGACAGTGTTTTAGGGGAAAAGAGTTTTAGAGTATTCCCTTGACAGGCGCCAAGGTTAAAATCAGTGATGAGTTGTGATTTGAGCCCTGACAGTTACCAGGTGAACTTCACCTTGGCCGTCTTTGCCCAGCCATGCACAGGTCTGGTCCACCCTTTGTGGGTTAGAACACAGCAGACAAAGCCATTGCTGAGGCAGACCCACAGAGTTAAACCAGGACTCCATAACAGTGTCAGAGTAAGTGGAGCTGAGAAAATGTCACAGGCCAGAGGAGACAGAAGTAAGCAAACAGTGTCCCGGATGGGACGCTGGAGCAGAAGGATATTAGTGTAAAAGCCAGCAGCATCCTGCCAAGTTGTTGTGCAAGGTCAGGACCAGTCAGGGCTACACAGAGAGACCCTGTCTCAAACAAAGCGGAAACAAACGACACAAAAAAAGAAAGAAAGAAAGAAAGAAAGAAAGAAAGAAAGAAAGAAGGAAGGAAAGAAAGAAAGAAAGAAAGAAAGGAAAAGTGAATGACATCTAAATAAAACGTGGGGGATGTCCTGGTCTGTTTTCAGTTGCTGAGTTAAAGACCATGACCAAAAAGCAAGAGGGTTGGAATGGGTTTATTTAATGTCACAGGTTGCAGCCCTTTGTGTCAGGAAGTGGGGGCAGGAACCCTCCCACATCGGTCATTAAAAGAGAATGCTTCACAGGCTGGGTACAGGTTTTCTCTTCCCAGATGACCCTAGCTAGTGTCAAGATGACACAAGCTAACAAGCACGGACGCTCGGCTGATACTGGTTTCTGAGCTGTGACAGATGCTGACAGTCATGATACAGAGACTCTGAACTGTTTGCTTGTTCACTCGCTCTTTTTCCTCCTTCCTTCCTTCCTACCCTCCTTCCTTCCTTCCTTCCTTTCTACCCTCCTTCCTTCCTTCCTTCCTACCCTCCTTCCTTCCTTCCTTCCCTCCTTCCTTCCTTCCTTCCCTCCTTCTTTCCTTCCTTCCTACCCTCCTTCCTTCCTTCCTTCCCTCCTTCCTTCCTTCCTTCCTACCCTCCTTCCTTCCTTCCTTCTTTCCTTCCTTCCTTCCTTCCCTCCTTCCTTCCTACCCTCCTTCCTTCCTTCCTTCCCTCCTTCTTTCCTTCCTTCCTACCCTCCTTCCTTCCTTCTTTCCTTCCTTCCTTCCTTCCTTCCTTCCTACCCTCCTTCCTTCCTTCCTTCTTTCCTTCCTTCCTTCCTTCCCTCCTTCCTTCCTACCCTCCTTCCTTCCTTCCTTCCTACCCTCCTTCCTTCCTTCCTTCTTTCCTTCCTTCCTTCCTTCCTTCCTTCCTTCTTTCCTTCCTTCCTTCCTTCCTTTTTGTTTCTTTGAAACGGGGCCTTTCACTTGTAGCCCGGGCTAGCCTTGAATGCACAGCAATCCTCCTATCTCAACCCCAAGTGCTGGGATCACAGGATGTGCCACCATGCCCGGATGCAAGTTTTCTATAAACACAAACCTGTTCTAGAATTGAAAACGTTTTTAAAGGCCCTGAGGGTGTCCAGGGTAGGTCAAACGATAGAGTGCTTAGCTAGCCTGCCCAGAGCCCTGAATTCAATCCCCAGCACTAAGTGAAACCAGGTTAGGTGGATCAGGGGTTCAGGGCCAGCCTGGACTGCATGAGAGTCTGTCTCAAAGAAAAGAAGATAAATAGGGTTTGAGAACGGCACAAGCCTGATTAACTAAGAGAACGAATGCCTACCCCACTGGACAAGCTACAAGAGAGAGGAGGCAAGAAAGGAGTCAGAGGGGCCAGTCTGGCAAGGTCTTGTCAAGCTGGGTTTGATTCTGGTTCTGCTGCATACCAAGTGAGAGATTTTAGGCAAGTTCTCTAACCTCTTTCTGAGCCTCAGTTTCCCAATCTGTAAAATAGGGTTAACAGTGCCTTCCTGATGGCTTCAACATCCTTTGCATGTGCATCTGTAGATGGTTCCTAGTAACACGCCAAAGGCCTTGTTCCTCCAATGGGCTTTATGTGGGATTTTTGCACATAGATTAAAATCTATATTCCTCAGCATTCACTCAACAGGATGTTGAGCAAAATCCCTGGTAGCAAAAGGTGTGTGATCTTTGATTCTGTGTATAAGAAAGTTAAAGCCACAAAGATAAGTCAGTGTCCTTAAATGAAAGAGGGGCCGATAGGAAAGGGGGAAGGGAGGGGCAAGAGGGTAATAGGGGGCAGGGGGGTGAATTTGATCAAAAGATGTTATATCCCTACATGGAAATGTCCCAAGGAAACCCTTTGTTTTGCACAATTAACATATACTAATTTAAAAACTAAAACCTACTGAAATGCCTTCAGGAAAGGAGAGTTGATAGTTTCAAAGGCATCCTCTAGTTAACGTGGAAAAGGGGCTCTGGGGAGGCAGGAAAGAAGCCTAGAGCCTAGCAGGGAGGTCAGTGCGCTGGTCCAGGAGAGGCAGGGTGGTTACTTGGGTACAGGAGGGAATGGAGTGGGGTTGGCAAAAAGAGTGTGGAAAAAAAAAGAGAGTCCAGACAGTAAATGTCGCATGTGTTTCAGAATTAGAACCAGCCCGGCGCTGTGCTGGTGAATGGGGTATGTGGGGTCGGGCAGGAGAGGAACGAGGAGGCCACCCAGCTTCGGCCTGGCAAAGAGGTAGATGAAACCTACCGAAATAAACTGTCTGCTGCCTGGTGACCTTCCCCACAACAGCGATCTCCTTGTGCGCAGCTGAGCGTGGTGGCCGGTACAAAGAAAGCGCCTTCCCAAATAGGTGCTGAATGAAAGGGCTGCTCACTAGAGTAGGTCCAGAGCCAGGGCGTGGACCTGATACAAAAGCGGGAGAAGCTGGGCATGGTAACGGACGTCCGGCATCGGGGAGGCTGAGGCAGGAGAATAACAAACAAGGCTGAAAGTCAGCATGGTCTATGTAGAGACCCTGACTGGGAGGGAGGGAGGGAGGGAGGGATGGGGGGGAAGGAGGGAGGGGGAGGGAGGGGGAGGGACTGATAGGGGAGGGAGGGAGAAACATGTATCCTGGGGGCAGAGGTCTACGAGCAATGAATGAGAGGTTGGTTGTAGATGTTAAAGTGAAATCCCTGCGTTGGCAGCTGGACCGAAGGGCCTGTGTCAGGAGGAAGATGTGTCCATGAGACCTCAGAGGTCTACATGCTCTCCTCCACTGAGAGGAGGGAGGAGGCTTTCAGACCCCAGTCTCCTCCCTCCACAGCATTGTCAAATGCAGGCCTAGGCTAGGCTTGAGCGAGCCATTCTGTGCTCGCTGCCACCCCCCCCCAGCGCACACCACCTCCCAAAACCAGATGCTCTGGGCACACATCATAGTCTGTGAGCAAACGCAGGCCCGGGGACCAAACAACCCCCCTTTGTTTCTAAGCCAGAGGCCAAGGTCCAGAGGCCAGTGCTGGAGAATAAACACGCCTTCAGTTTAAAAATGGAAAAATGTTTTCTCTCTGAAATGGGCCGCCTCTGAGCGTTCTTTGTGTGATTTTTCCATATCGCCCTGGGGGATCCTGCTGACCACTGTCCCACCCAGGGTGGCTAGAGATGCTCCCTCCAGTCTTGACTAATTTCCTCCTCTAAATGTCTGGCAGAGGAACACTGGAGCCAGCCAGTGGCTTCTGGCTCACCAGGGAGAGGCACCCAGATGAGTTGTCTCACTCCTGGGTCACCATTCTGCAGCAGGTATCTGGGGAGTGGTTAAAGAAAGATCTGGAGGGGCTGGAGAGATGGCTCGGAGGTTAAGAGCACTGACTGCTCTTCCAGGGGTCCTGAGTTCAATTCCCAGCAACCACATGGTGGCTCACAACCATCTACAATTCAATCTGGTGCCCTCTTCCGGCTTGTAGGCAGAACACTGTATATGTAATAAATAAATCTTTAAAAAAAAAAAAAAAAGAAAGATCTGGAGCCTGAAACCTGAACCTGGATTTGAGGTCCAAATTCCCATGTGATCTGCCTGGTGACTGTGCTGAGCCTCGCGCAGACACGCTGGTTTTTTTCACTCGGGAGCTGACTCCTTGGGCAGTAGAGGACTTGAGGTCGATTCCCAGAACCCATATAGGCGGCTCGCAATGCCTATTTAAACTCCAGTTCCAAGGGGCTTTGATGCCCTGTCTTCTGAGAGCAACTGCACTGTACACATACATCCACAAACATGTGCGCACACACATGCACACTCATGCACACACAATGCCCACAATTTGTTTAATTGCCTCCACAGCTTGACATGATGGTACATGCCCGTATTCCCCTGCACACCGGATATGAAGACAGGATTGTCATGAGGTAAGAACAGCCTGGTCTACTCTGAGTTCCAGACCAGACAGGGCTACGTGGAGACATGCTATCTCAAAAAAGAGGAAGGTGATGTTTCGTCTTCTCCTCCTTCCAGCCATCCATTGGCCCAGCAGAATTCTCAAGGTCTATACCTGCTGTGAAAAGGGGAGGTACTAGCCCAGGTAAGGTACTCACATACTAACTCTGCAGAGTGAACGATCATGGAAGAGATGCCTTAGCAGGATCTATTTTTAATAAAGCTCTGCCCAGCACCTTTCTAGCCGGGCCAGCTGGACATCTGGACAGCCCATCTTGCCTGGGTCCAGACAAAGGCCACTTCCTGAAGAACATCGGGTTCTCTCTTTGAACTCAATACCAGGGACTTTGCATGCCATGAGGCCTAGACTTCATGCCAGGTTGGGTAGGGTTGAGGTGGAGCACAAGCCCTGAAGGGATGTCACTAAGTAACCCTCATTCACTCGCTGACCCAGCCAGCACCCAGCCTCTCCGGTTCCTCCCCCTCCTCGCTCCCTTGCTGGTAGGGTGTGGGAGTCTTTCAAAGGCCTCTGGTCTGCTGAAGAACGGTCTTCTTCCTCCTGCTTTCTGCTCCTTGTCCAAGCCAGCAGCCCCAGGAGAACCTGTCAATGCTCACTTTCCATTCTTGTCCTCCCAAAGCAGTCAGGGCTGATGGATGAATTGAGCTGCAGATTTAAAATGTCAGACTTCTCCCTGTAAACCTACTGCATCCTAACTCTGGCCTCAATCCTCCTGGGAACCAACTGCCAAACCCCGGCAGATGTCAAGGAAGCACGGGAGCCCAAACGGTGAATGGGTTAATCTGCTCAGCCTCTGAAATGTGCTCTGGGGAAGCCTAATCCAGCACTATGGGGTCACCTCACCAGTGAGGGGAATTTGGACTTTAGCTGCCACCAATCGCTTGATGAGCAAGCAACAATCTCTCCAGCCACCTCTTGCGTGATGGTTCACTCACTCACTCACTCACTCACTCATTCACTCATTCATTCACAGATATTGACAGAGTGCCAGCCATGCAAGATGGGTCACTCAGGCACCAGACATTTGGGGCCCACCGGCTGCAGAAGGACTTTATCTGAAGAGAAGCAGAAAGTTCTGAGAAACAAGGGTTCATGTACGTTCTCTCTGAGAGTAGCTCTACTCCCAGTAAAGGTATAAAGGGCAAAGCCACTGTAAATCCCTCCTGGGTTAGTTTATGGTCCCAAAGATGCAAAGACCTTTCATGCTGTCCAGACAAACAGTGTCATCCCCAAATGTGTCTCCTTCTCTGTTCTCACAAAAGCCCTACCCAGCTGTCCTTCCTTCCTGAGGGCAACCCTTTGCGGTTTGTTCTTCTCTCCCATCCCCTACCAAGGTAGGTGTGTCTTCTCAGTCTTTTTCCTGCTGAACAGAGTAACGAGATGAAGCAGTTCTTTTTTAAAGCTATGTATTTCTGACACTGCTGGGGCTGGGAGGTTCCGGGTCAAGGTTCTGCCAGGGAAGACCTTGTTGCAGCATTCTGTGGTAGAGGGGGAGGAGCTATGAGAGAGATAAAATAATGCTAGAGACAAGACAGACGTATATACAGAGAGGCAGAAAGGAGGTGCAGAGAAAGGGGAGTGGGGAGGAGAGCGAGAATGAACCTGCAGCCCCGAGCCCTTCCTTAGTCAGCATGAATTTGATCATGAAGATGAAGTCCTAGCGATGTGAGCACACCCACCAGACTCCACCCCCTACGTTTCTGACATGTAATTGGGAGTGACATGTTAAAAATCATAGCAGCATGTAAGCCCCAGTTTCTTTTTTTATGTTATTTTATTATTGTATTTTATGTACGTGAGTGTTTTACATACATGTATAACTGTGCACCACATATGTGTCTGGTACCTGCGAGGCCAGAAGAGGACATCAAGCTACAAATGGTTGTGAGCTACCATGTGGGTTCTGGGACTCAAACCTGGGTCCCCTGGAAAAGCAGTCAGTGCTCTTAACCACTAAGCCATCTTGCCAGCCCCTAAGTCCCAGACTCTAACCACCTGGTATGGTTTAGGAATGGCATGCGTATTTGCCAAGAGGGTAGTACTATTGGAAGGTGGGGCCTTGTGTGAAGTCCTGAGATTCATTTCAGGGTGTGCCCTTGGAAAGGGTGGTATGGGCGTAGATGAACCATCCTAAGGACTAAGTGTATATGATCAAGAGTGACCTTTCTCATTGGGTGTTGGTGGTGCATGCCTTTAATCCCAGCACTGGGGAGGCAGAGGCAGGCGGATCTCAGCGAGTTCCAGGACAGCCTCCAAAGCCACAGAGAAACCCTGTCTCGGAAAAAGAAAGAAAGAGAGAAAGAAAGAAAGAAAGAAAGGAAGGAAGGAAGGAAGGAAGGAAGGAAGGAAGAAAGAAAGAAAGAAAGAAAGAAAGAAAGAAAGAAAGAAAGAAAGAGTGACCTTTCTCTTTTCCTAGATGCAACCCTGCAGTTTCCTGGGAATGTCACAAGACTATAAACTCCATTTATAGTAAAAGGCATATATTAACTCTTTTGTGACCCACAGTTTCACCTTATCAGCTCTAATCTTACCATTTGATGAAAAAAGAGTCCCTTAGAAACCCTTTTAACAACGTGATTTCAAGAGCCATCAAAATCATATAGATATGGCTACCATGAAGACACTTAAACATACCTCCCTTGAGAAGCTTACTCCCACATGTGGGTGTGTAATATCCTCTTCTTTAGAACTTGTGCTGGTTGGTTTTCTGTCAATTTGACGTAAGCTAGAGTCATCTGGGAAGAGAAGCCTACCTGAGGAACTGCCTCCATCCGATTGGCCAGTGGGAAGTCTGTTGGATATTTTCTTGATCAATGATTGATATGAAAAGGCCTAGCTCACTGTGAATCATGGGTGCTGCCACCCCAGGCAGGTGGTCCTGGGTTCTGTAAGAAAGCAGACTGAGCAAGCCATGAGGAGCAAGCCAGTTAGCAGCATTCCTCCATGGCCTCCGCATCAGTTCCTGTCTCCAGATTTCTGCCTTGAGTTCCAACTTGGCTTCCCTCAGTAATGGACGGTGTTGGGAAGGAACGTGTAAGCCAAAGAAACCCTTTCGCCGGGCGTTGGTGGCGCACGCCTTTAATCCCAGCACTCGGGAGGCAGAGGCAGGCGGATCTCTGTGAGTTCGAGACCAGGCTGGACTACCAAGCGAGTTCCAGGACAGCCTCCAAAGCCACAGAGAAACCCTGTCTCGAAAAAACCAAAAAAAAAAAAAAAAAAAAAACCCTTTCTTCCCCTGAAGGGTTAATGACATAAAATGAAGACCCTCAGGTAAGTTAGGCAACTCCTAACAAGGAAGTCAGCATATCTATAAGAACACAGGCCAGCATTTACTGACCAGAAACCTCAGGAAACAGATCTACAGATGCAATGCTCAACACCCCCTCCCAAGTCCCTCATTTACCCTTTAAAACTCTCAAGTCTCCTTTCCCCCAGAGAGACCTCTGTCCTCTACTGTTCTTTTTTTTAATTTAAATTTAAATTTAAATTAGAAACAAGGTTGCTTCACATGTCAATCCCAGGTCCCTCTC